GGCATGGCATTGCATGTATTACAATCAGCATTTCGCCTTTTCTGTTTCTGAAATCCGTATTGTTTTTTTTTTCCTCTCTATCGTCCTTTATCACTGAGTAGAGATGTACTAAAAAGCATTAATGGATGCAGGAGATAATGAACTTGAAAAGGCAAGAAATAACCAGCGTACTAGACGGCGCACAAGCACACAGACATCACCTTTGGTCAGGCAATTCCTGCTTCAAAGGAATGGTATAATTTCAAAATTATCCTTTTAGCATATAATACTTCTAGATCCAAACTATTTCTTTCAATTCTTCCTTTCTCGATTATCTATAATGGCTTCTCGTTATTTCATGTGTAAAGCAGACGAAATCCTAGAAGAGGAGGTCCAACCAGGCTTCATTTACGAGATCTACCACAAAAACCTTCCTCCTAGAACTCATCTTCAACTGAGATCCGTTCGCGTTTTTGTGGTAATCAATCACTTCGTGAATCAGTGACAAAAAACTGTTTTATTGCGATTAGATCTGAATATGTTTTCGTCTGACTGATGGATAATGATTATTTTCAGATATCCGAGCATTCTGTCATTACGAACTTATTTCAGTCATGGAATCATGGAGATGTATCCTGCATTAGAAGAGAAGTTCGTAATGGGAGTAAAACTGGCAGGCAAAGTTGTTTTTCGGCATGTTCCATCTCAAGAATTCGACGAGAAGAAGCATCTGCAGAATTTCTGGCTGGTGAACCCAAACTCTCAAGTCGGGTCGGGTCATGCTGCTATGAAGATTGACGAGATCGGATTGGCAAAGGAACTGAAGAACAATGCGTTGGTAATTAAGGTGGGGTGTAAGAAGACAAGTTATGTTTATTGGTAGACGTACCCAAAGATATGAGAAATTAACACGACGCAGTTTCTTCAAGCTACGTATGTGTTCATGGAGATGAAGAAATGAAGGATCGACAAGATGTTAACAATGGTGGATATGAGGAAGAGGAGGAGGGGAGGAAGTTAATGACGACGAAGGAAGGGTGATGAAGATGATGATAATCTTAACAGAAAGTTTGAAAAAAAAACAAGAAATTTGAGAAAAAGAAAGCGTGTGAAACAAGCGAACAACCAGTTATGGCTAATCGATCAATAAAAAACCCATGAACAAATGCAAGAAATTAGGGCTCATTAAAGATCCCACATAAAGGTGGTCAAAGGAGAGTTATCTGGCGGCGGAGCTCAGTCTTCTGATAGGGACACTGGTCTCTTAGACCACCACCTGAAACAACTAGCTAACAAGGTGGCGATTTGAGGTTTCGAAGGTCACACAACGCTGTAGGAGCAATGGAACATTGGCTTCAAAGTGCTGATCTTCTTAAAATTAGGAAAGACACCGGAGTAAGTGATCCTTTCTGGACTCAAACGCCTGGTTGGAAGCCCATTGATTCTCGAGTTATTTGCAAAGAGGGGGCACTTTTTAGAATGTGTTTGTAGAAATGGGGATGCTGCCCCACAGAATAAATACGTATGTTGAAATGAAGCATCCCTTACCACTTACAACAATGGACCTTTCTTTTTTTATTATATTATATGTTTAAATTTTATCTTTTTATATATTTTTTCTACATTTACCTAACTATTTACCTAATTTATGTAGCTTAAATATATTATTAAATTTTATATATAGCATTTAATTATTCTTACTACACAAACGATCTCATTTATATTTCAAAATTTTAGAATATTATATACTATTTTAATTATACAAATACAATTAACATATAAATATTGTTAGAATCATATAAATTAAAAAATAAATAGTAATATTTATATATGATTTGTCAAATCAAATAGTGAATCTGTAAAAGCAAACACTCTATCCAAAACAAAAGCAACACTCTATCCAAAATAAAATGTCACTATTTATTGAAAACTCTTAAAAAGCTAAAGCTGCATGAACTGTCATGTCTAAAAGTTTTAATTGAACTAAATTTACTTTTTGATGCTATAAATTTGATCTTACGAGCCAAGGTTCTTCATCATTCTTACAAAATTGTTTCCACGCAAATATACATTCTCAGTCTTTCATGCTTCCATAATATTCACATTATTAGTTCTTTCATATATTAAACATAAGGTATATATAATTTCTAAATATTTTTGCATATTTTTTTGTCAAAACGCTATATATATGATACTAATTTACATCTGTTATCATACAATTTGTCTTGCAGTTATATTTATGGCTCTAAATCGTCCATTTATGATTACTCTCTATTGGGGTGGCAATGTTGAATATGAGAATGGAATCATCAAGGGCGACGAATCAACTATGTCTGCTTCAGACATTATTAGGCAAAAAATACGGTATGAACAATTTCAAGATTTGGCTTATGCACTTGTTGGAGTCGAAAAATCTTCATATAAGTTGAATATGTCATTATGTTACCAATATTCTGGGAGATCTAATATCGCACCACTTATAAATGATTCAACCTTAGACATGTTGTATTATTTAGCTGCGACTGATGAAAATTATTGGGGTCAAGTTTGTGTTGAAATTGAGAAAATAGTGATACCTACAAATACTAGTTTGGTAGATCTCCTTCGTAATTTTGAAGTACCATTTCCTTTGCCGAGTGATGATAGATTTGAGCCAAATAATGAGTTTGGATTTGATGATCCCAACTCAGAATGCAGTAGTGAGTCATTAAGCCATATTGAGGAAGACTCTGATGATGTGAGTGACAAATTAGTTGTAGACTTTATGAATGATGTTGGAAATATAGGAGATGATGTCGTAGAAAATTTAGAGGACAACATTCATATAGATGTTTGGAAGGAAACAGAAAACAAAATTAGGTTAGGAATGCAATTTGAAAGTAAGCAGCAGGTGAAAAATGCAGTAATACTTTGGTCTATTAGTCAAAATAGAGAGTTTAAGGTGTATGAAAGTAAACATAACAAATGGGTAGCAAAATGTAAGACCGAGGTGGGTGAAGGAGAAAGCTCTAGTTCTATGCACCATACACAACCTTGTCAATGGTATATCCGTGCAATTAAGAAGAAAAATAATCATATGTGGCAGATTACACATTGGGTGGATGAACATAATTGTTTTGGATCTTGTATTGGCAATAATAACAGAAATCTAAACTCTAGAGTTATTGCCTCATACATTCTCCATTCAATTCAAAAAGATGTTGCTTACCCGGTGAAACATGTACAAGCAGATATAAAAAATCATTTTCATGTTGACGTTTCTTATTGGAAGGCATGGCATGGAAGAAGAAAAGCCATAGAGACCATTTATGGAACTTGGGAGAGTAACTTTGTTGAGTTACCCAAGTATATTGCAGCTTTGCAGGCTTCAAACCCTGATACAATTGTCAAGTGGTTTCATAACCAAAATAGCTCATCACAAGTGGCAAAATTCAAATATATTTTTTGGGCTTTTGGACCAGCTATTAAAGCATTTCATTTGTGTCGCCTTGTAATTTCTATCGATGGTGCTCATTTGAAGGGTTCTTACAAAGGAAAATTGCTTGTTGCTGCTTCAAAAGATGCTAACAATAATATATTACCAATTTCTTATGCCATTGTTGACGAGGAGACAGTTCATAGTTGGTGTTGGTTTTTGGGTCATTTTAGAAATTTTGTTGCTCCAAATAGACAATTATGTGTTCTTTCTGATAGGCACAAAGGAATCATTCATGCAATGGAAAATCTAGAGGAGTGGAAAGAGCCATTAGCATACCATCGTTTTTGTCTGAGGCATGTCAGAAGTAATCTCATGAAAAGGTACAAGAATGTAAACCTTAAAAAAATTTGTTGGTCTATGGGTAGCACCACACAAAAAAGGAAGTTCGCTAAGTATATAAGGGAAATAAAAGCAATCAATATGGAAGCTTGGCAGTATTTGAGGGAAATTAAAAGAAGTCAATGGTGTCTTTTATATGATGAAAATCACCGATGGGTTTCTTAACGACCAATATCTCTGAGAGTATGAACAATGCATTACGAGGAGCGAGACAATTGCCAATTAGGGCGTGTATTGACCTTACATTCAATAGAACTGTGCAACTTTTCAGAAAGCATAGTGGTATTGCAATGAACTGCATTACACCTCTACCAAAATGTATGTGGCGTCTCTTTCTTAAACGTGACACTCGTGCACAAAGTCATGTTTTATCTGAGTTTCACTACAATGAAGGTGTTTACAGAGTTGTCACAAGGTCACAGATAAATGGAACCGGAGGAAATACAAGACTGTTAATTATTTTCAACATATGTGTACTTGTGGTAAGTGGCAAATGGAGAGATTTCCATGTTCACATGCACTTGCAGTTTGTCGGAATAGAGGGGACAACCCTCTTTCCATTGTGAACAATGTGTACACTACTATGACATACAGACAACAATATAATTTTGGGTTTGTACCACTTCCTCATGTTGATTATTGGTTGGATTCAAACTGGACGATTGAAGCAGATTACTCAAAACTTTCTGTTCATCGAGGACGAAGGCGTGCAAATCGAATTCATAATGAGATGGACATTCGTCATCCTGATGAACCTCGTAGATGTACACTATGCCACCAGCCAGGTCATAATAGAAGAAATTGTTCAAATTCTCAACCAAGATTCAATGAGTAGTAAACTATGTTTTTGTTTTATTGTGTTGTAATTTCATGTTTCATTGATCTTGTATTTCCTGTGTGATTTTGTATTATGATTTTTAAATTTTAGTAATGTAATCTTAGTTATGTGTTTTCTTATTTCTTATTGTTATAATATTAAATATTAGTATTAATGGAAATGTATAAATGAGATATATTTGGTATTGAAAACTAATAAGAATTAGTTATAAATTGAATAATATATTTACATTAAATATTATTAAATTAAGTAAATGTACAAAATACAAATAAAAAATAAAATAAGATGTAGTGGTAACATATTTCATAAAATAAGGGTCAATGTTGAATATTTTTATGGACTATTTTGTATATTTAATATTTACGTAAATATAATAAGTAAATATAATAAGATGTAGTAAAAATGTAGAAAAAAATATATAAAATGATAAAGTTCGAACATATTATAAAAAACTAAGGGCTATTGTTGTAAGCTATGAGGATCAATATATATTTACGTATTCATTTAGTGGGCCAGGAGCCCCATTTCTACAAAGGCATTCAAAACCGCCCCATTTCTAATAACCTTTTTGAAAACTGCCCCATTTTTACAAATAACTCTTGATTCTCCTATCCAAGATCGGATCATGTCAAAAGAACTTAATATTCATCTCAAAGCAGAGGAAGTTTCATATATCAGAAGGTACGTATATACGGATTGGATTCATTAAGTTTACGAAAGTGTAAGGTTATTATTTTTTTACGTTTCTATAAGAATATATTAGTTATGTGGTTAATTTTTCTTAATATACAGGGAATTTTTATCGAATTAAGAAGCACTAATTTGAGGAAGATATATGGCACATGATTGTTAAGATATTAGTACTTCTTTATGGCCATGAGTTTTTAAATTACTTAGGCCATTGATTCTGCCGTGTCCGTGTGTATAAATTAACAGAGAGAACGAGAGATTATGGAGTTAATTTGAAAGAATACTAGCCTTTTAGATTTGAGGTTTCGAATTTTAATTTATATAATATTAATTTCTAACCACTAACTTTATTGGTAAAAAAATTTGAAAAAATACAAACGGAATTGAAAATAAAGTTATGGTGGTATCTCAAGGTCATGTTGAAACTAGTCCAAAGCAAGGTGACCAGTTTTTGTAATTCTTTGCTTCCTTCCGAGTGTCACGTAGATGACTCACGAGTCTCAAGGGTAATATCAGACGACTCTAACAGGATCCAGCCTTTAGACCATCTCCAATGCATTAAACTCATAAGAGTTTAATGGATTGATACATATACATTCCATTCACTATACAACTTTACTCATTAAATTCTACACTTCATTAAACTCTATACAATTTAATGATTTTCACCTCATTTATCATTTTCTTTTTATTTATTGTTATTTAAAAAAAATAATTAGCATGAAATTAAAAATTAAAAACTACAATTAAAATTAACATTAATTTAAAATAAAAAATAAAAAATTATATATACATATATATGTGTGTGTGTGTGTGTTTGAGAGAGAGAGAGAGGAGAGAGAATATAAAGTTCAATGGGGATTAAACTCCCCATTCTATTGAATCCTAGTCATTTTTCTACAATGAAGATTTTGGGTTTAATGAGATTAAACTCCCCATTAAACCTTCCATTGAACTCCCATTGGAGATGACCTTAGGCTATATGGAGTGGTGACTACAAACTCACCGGACAAGTGGTGCCACCTCTGCGCCAAGTCACCTTCACCACCAACCCACTCCACTATAGAAATGGTCACCACTAACATCATTCACTTTTTTATTTTTTTTATTTTCTTAACATTATGTTAATTAATAATTTATATATATTATTATTGTAATTCAAATAATAATTATCCATTTTTTAATTTCAATATAATATACTTAAAATTTTCATTTAACACCTCCATTGTCTAATTATTAGTATAATACACTTAATTTGTTGTTTAAAATATGGTGATATATATGTGTGTGGGGCTGAGGGTTTAATTTAATTTAAATAGAAGTATAAGGGTATAATAAGATATAAAAAAATATTTCTAGGGACCATAGATGTAACTTCAATAAAAAATAAAGGGAGGAAAGCGAGGTTGGTGCTGCTACTTATTTCCTATTCGTCGTCGCTATTGGGGTGGTGTTCACGGGTCTTTTGGATGCCACGTAGGCATTCAATGTGTAGGTTTCTATCGACTCCGGATGCCACACCCAAGTCACCAACTCTTGGGGTGGTGTTCACGGGTCTTTTGGATGCCACGTAGGCATTCCTCGCATGGGTTTCTATCGACTCCGGATAATCTAATGGTGTCGGAACTACACTCTTAAATAAACCCCCAAATTAAAGTACTATCATTTCACATAGATATCAAATCAACATATGAGTTATTATGTTGTCCAAGAATTTTATTATTGTTTTTTGAATATTTTTTGTTTATTATTATTATTGTTAATATTTTTCAGAATTAACGTTATTTTTTAATGTCTTTAATCATACATACATTTTTTTTATGAAATTAATCCATTCTTTTTCAGTTAAAAATGGCAAGTTTAGAGCCGGTCCCTCGGATATATATGTCAATGTTGGGATACATATTACTTGGTTTTTCATGAGTCCAATTAATTAGAATCAGTGAAAGCTATATTAATAAGCTGTACCCTTTTAAAAATATAAACTTTTTAAATTTTATTTATTATTTCTTGTAATTTATATATTATAGTTATATTTTTATAATATTTGAAAATTATTTAATTAAATGTGAATTATTTTGTTGATAACAAACTACTTGATTTAAATAATCTTGAAAATACCTTTAAAACAATATTAGTATTAAGTATTATTGATATGTATTTTATTTTAATAAACTAATTACAATATTAATATAAAAAAATAACAAAACATCTAATTTATCATTGAATAATAAGAGAAACGATACTAATAGAAGTGTAACACTCTTTATAATATGATCGATTATATCGGTAGCGATGTTAACTAAAATAATATGTTAATAATATTATTAGTAAGAAAAATAATCATACATAATGAACAAAATCAGCTTTAAAATTAATTATGAAAATTTATTTTTAAGTTTACAAAACAAATTAATACATATAACCTTAATGTGCATTTCGTTAATGGATCTCTAAACGTTATTGTTTGTTGTTCAAAAAAAATAAGTATCGGTTTTTCTTCTTTTACCAAAAATATATCTTTAAGTAACGCATTATTAATACTTTACATCAAATAACATTATAATTACATAAAGCTATTGAAGTACAATAGTTAGTTAGATAAATTTAATATTTACTGATTAGATTTTTTATTTAAATTTAAGACTAAACTGTACAAATGGTCCCTGTGGTATGTCGAAAATTGCCACTTTGGTCCAAAAAAGTTTGGACTAGCACCAGAGGTCCAAAGTTTTCATTTTGTTGCTTGTTTGGTCCAATTTATTTTAAACTTTTTTAAAATACCAATTTTGCCCTTTGTATTTTCTTTTTCTATTTATTTGTATTACAATAATTAAAAAGAAAAGAAAAAAACTCACCTGCATCACTACCCTACCCCTCCCTGCACTTCCCCTTCTCTTCTCTCTCTCTCTCCCCCCTCTCTCTCTCTCTGTGAATTTTCACAAAACGAAACTAAAGTCACCACCAACTTCCGGCGAATGGGGGTTCCGACCACCATAGATTATTCTCGATCGGAGTAACACCACCTCTCCATTTCTTTATCTCTCTCAACAACATTATAACTCGATGAAGATAGTAATCCAAAGAACAGATGGTTTGGTCGGAGAAAGAATTTAGTTAGAAACAGAGGTTGGGACATACTAAAGAAGACGAAGGGCAGCAAAGACGTGAAAACCCAGATCGAAGTCGAAGGTGGCTTCATCCTTCAGTAGTTCTGATTTGAAAACCTAGATACACATCATCGTCTTCACACATCGATGGCGCCTTAATCTGGAAACTCGAGCCACAAACTCCGCCTTCGTTTCTCTCTCTTCTTCGGTGAGTCTCGTCCTTATCATATCCTTCTTCTTCTTCTTCGGCGAAAACCATCTATCGTCGACGTCTTTCTTCGTCGAAAACCCTAATCTAGATGAGATAAGGTAGAGGTGCTAGGGTTTCAGAAATTATTGATGGTTTTTATCAAAAATTGGGTTTACAGAGATGGTTTCCCGACGGAGAAGAGGAACTAAGCAGGTGAAAAGATGGTTATCGGTGGTAGTAATCGATTATGGTTTGTTGTATGTAATGTCGGCTTTCAGATTTGCCAGAGGTTGGTGGTAGTGGAGACGATAGGGGTTGAAGGTGGTGGTGCCTGACGGCGACGACGGTGGTGTAATCGGTGATGAAGGGTTCGTGAGAATTACAAAGAACAAACGAAAATGGAAGAATAGAGAGGGAGAGAGAGAGAGAGAGAGAGAGAAGAGAAAGAGATATTTATTTTTATTTTTATTTTATTTTTTTTAATCTAAAAACTAGAAAAGCAAATAAGAAAAAGGGAAAATCATATTAATAGGGGCAAATTCGTCATTTTATAAAAAATCAGAACATACTGGACCAAAAACGCAACAAAATGAAAATTTTGGATCACTGGTGCTAGTCCAAACTTTTTTGGACCAAAGTGGCAATTTTCGACATACCACAGGGACCATTTGTGCAGTTTAGTCTAAATTTAATCCATTACAAATAAACAATAGAATTTAAACTCCTTATCAAGAGTTTATTTAGCACCAACCTCTAAAAATACATTTTTTGTTACTAATTAACCATATATTTGATGTTCCTAAACCAATTTAATTGCCGTACGTGACAATATAATAATGATTCTATGCATGTCACTATATTGAGTATATCCATCGGTTATTAAAAGTAATTAATTGAATAATACATATGATCAATCAAATTTTAATTTTTTTTTTCTATCTTTCCATCTCCGTGTCTGATGTAGTCATGTAGATGACTGATGACTAGAGTCTCAAGTTTTCTTTTCT